CTGCCATTAGGAAATGCCGCTGCCATGAAGTGGTGTACTTGGTCAGCAACAGTGTGTAGGTAGGCGATACATTTCAAAGTAACATCCACATGAAAGCCAGAACCCACGTTTTCCCAGCAGAACATTACATAAAACATCCACATGGTGGAAAAGAGAACATGATTTATCAGACCAAGCCACCTTCTTTCATTGCTCCATGGTCCAGTTCTGACACTCACCTGCCCATTGTAGGTGCTTTAGATGGTGGACAGGGGCCAGCATGGGCAGTCTGACTGATCTGCAGCTACGCTGCCCCATATACAGTTAGCTGCGGTGCACTGTGTGTTCTGATACCTTTCTGTCATAGCCATCATCCCCAATCACATCAATGCACCTTGGGCGCCCCGACCCTGGTGCCGGATCAGCAGTTGTCCTTCCTGTTGAACACCCCACAGTTTGGGACATGCTCTGACCCAGTCGTTTAGCTCTCACAGAGCAGCCCTTGTCAAAGTCACTCAGATCCTTATGCTTGCATATTTTTCCTGCTTCCAGCAAATCTTTTTCAAGAACTGACTCTTCACTTGCTGCCTAATACATCCCACTCCTTGACAGGTTCCACTGTAACAAGATAACTAGTGTTATTCACTTCACCTGCCAGAGATTTTAATGTTGTGGCTGATCAGTGCATATACACTGTATATGTATTTTTTATTGTTTAGGTGTGAAAACCTAAGGAAGGTTGATTTAAAATATTAAGCACCTACTAAAGCATTAATAAGATTCAAACTTACATCAGCCTTGGCAACTACAAAACTGTAATTTCCAAAAAGTTTGTTATTGACAATTTATCAACATAGCAATGGCATGTCACTGTCAGACAGTGATCTGTCATTCTTTCTTACAGCTGCAGTGACTATTATTGTTTATTCTAATGGAAGGCACTATATTATACACAGAGAGGCGAACAAACAACATGTGCGCTGCCAGAAGTGTTTGGAGATGGGACATTGGACCTACGAATGCACAGGGAAGCGGAAGTATGTTCACAGACCATCAAGAACAACTGAGATGAAAAAGAAACTCAAGGAGAATGAAAACAACCTCAACAGCATCACTGGGTAAGGTGCCTCTGTCAGTTCACCACTAGTGACAGACAGGCAGATCTTTGGTGATTTGTGAGGATCTAGTGGTTTTTTTTTCTGATACACCACAGTAAAGTGACTGAGTTTTGGCTCTTGGAAGACATCATCCTGGGTTGTGGTAAATTATGCCTGGCATTTTTACAATTTTCTGACATTTTATAGACTAAACCTTTAATAAAAAAAATAGCCAATCGACACTGAAAACATTCGTGCAGCCCTAATACTCACCACAATTTCACAAAACCATAAAATGCCCATTAGATTCCTCCAAACATCCTGTGCAGCATCATTCAAGTGATGGATCTATGAAGCTGTTACTACAAAAATTGTAGAGCAAAATGCTGTTGCTTTTTACTGCAATCTAGTGGATGTAATGATAAATACAGCATACTGTGTTGAAAACTGTTGGTCAGCATTTCCCTTTTAATAGATGGAACTTTCATAAAGATTGCCACTGCTTGAAGTGCAATTAACACGGTGCCAATTTTTTAAAACCACCCCGTCGACCATCCAGGGTGCACATCCAGCTCTCATGGAAAAAGTGTGCTTTGTCTGGTTTGGTGCAATAAATGATGGACCTTTAGGCTTTTGTGTATACAAGCTGATACATTTTCAGAAACATCCATCCATCCATCCATTTTCCTCCGCTTATCTGGGACCGGGTCGCGGGGGCAGCAGTCTAAGCAAAAATGCCTTCGAATGCCTTCTCCAGATCCATGAAACACATGTGGACTGGTTGAGCAAACTCCCATTAACCCTCCACCACCCTGAAGAGGGTATAGAGCTGGTCCAGTGTTCCACGGCCAGGACGAAAACCGCATTGTTCCTCCTGAATCCGAGGTTCGACTATCGGTCGAATTCTCCTCTCCAGTACCCTGGCATAGACTTTCCCGGGGAGGCTGAGGAGTGTGATCCCCCTATAGTTGGAACACACCCTCCGGTCCCCCTTCTTAAAAAGAGGGAC